TCTCCCTCACACCGAGCCAAGCACCTGTGGCTAAAGCAAAGGGAAGACATTTATTTGAAGCTCCTCGCAGGAAGGGTGAGCTGAAGTGAAGGATGCGCTCAGTGAGTTTCTGCTGCCTGTCAAAACTGAGGGAGAAGAATCAAGGCGTGCTGCTTTGCCTCTGACAAAGACAGCCGCCCACGACAAACCACAAGAGGCCTCACGGAGAACTGCCAACACGGCGTGGAAGGTCACAGCACGGACGCTGATCCTATGACTCCACACTTCAGAGGCTCTGATACCACGAGGAGCTTTTCCCCCCGATTCTCTGTTGTCTTGCAGCGAGCTTTTCTGTTCCCTGTTCTGCTTTGCCACACCTATCTCAGTTGGTTTTTTGTTTTTCTTTTTTCCTCTGGGATCCTGCTTTAAACTGAATCTAATTGTTCCATGTTAACTTGGGAATGCAACCCTAGGAGGTTAAACAGGCTAGCACACAACAGATGGACTTTGCAGATAACAAAGAACCCACAATTTTTGTTTTCAGTATTTTCTGCCAAGTTAGTAAAGTGGGCTTGGCTGGGGGGGGGATTTCTCTTAGCAAACTGTGTCTCAGAGGGATGTTTGTTTGCTTACTTGCTTGCTTTTTTAAACCCACATTTCTCCAATTATACAGAAAGCTGTTTTTCCTGTGGGTAAAACCCCTCAGTACATATAAATAATCTTTGAAGTCAAACATTTTGGGCTGGGGGAAGGGAGCTCTTCCTTTAATTAAGCTATTTTGGGTGAGATGGGGATTGTATATTATACATACTTTGGGCGAGATGGGAATCGTAGCTAAACTTAGTTCAGCACTAAGTGACAAGGAGTAAAACTGAAATTATTTTGCATTCTTTGTATTACCTAGGAGCCCAAGGCAGGGATGAGGAGCTCATTGTATTAGGAACTCAGCAGATACATGCAGAAATGTAACAAAAGCAGTGCTCCGGAAGTGAGGAAACGCCTCTGTCCAATTCCAGACACGGCTCCCACCATCCATGACCTCGGCCAAGTCAGCGGGGGCTGCTCTCAGCCGGCCTGCTATAGCACCCACAGTGCAGGAAGCTACGTTGACCCTTCCAGACCCCGGGCTACAACAAAAGTCTGTGAGAATGTCTCAGCCCATACTGTACGAGGGGCTTAGGAGGCATCAGGAGTTGGGAGTTACATCTCTGTGGAACAGAAGGGAGAAATCTGGGTAGCAGCCTAGTGAAATATAAAATGAGACGAGTCAATCACATTTGCACAAAAACACAGATCCAGCCAAATCACTGAGTTCTTGTATCAGCAGATTCTAGGTGGTAGAATCGTAAGTAGGTAATTTTAAAGCAAAAGAAAAAGCACAGCCTCAGATATACAAGTGCATGCACACTAAGAGTTTATATATTTTTTTTTAAAAACACAGAAATCCACAAGAATATTACACCAAAAACCCCTCCCTAAAGGAGTTAAAAAATAAGAATCTTTGTAAATCAAAACCACATTCTCCCAAACAACATAAAAAGTATGAATCAATACTCCATCTGCTCAGTCATATTTCAGGTTCTCTCTTTACTATGCACACCCAATGGCAACGCTCGCCCCAGTATGCACATGAAGACATGATTCTTCAGTTCCTGATGTCTTTGAAGACAGTGATGCTATCACTGTAGCACCGAAAAAATAATTTTGAACACACAGCTTGGTACAGGAATATAAAGAAAAATTGACAGAAAGCCTTTTTGATTCAAATAAAATAAATTTTTCAATCTATATGTTTATTAGTGATCCAAGACCTTTACTTTCCCCAAAGCACTTTTTTTCTCCTGACCTTACAGGGGAAAGCTGATACTGAAAGCGGCCATGCTAAGCTCCCAAGTTTTCAACTGCCTTAAGTTTGTTCACAGGCTTTCTTGTCTGCATGGAGCTGGTTGCTAGAATTAGACCTTAAAATAAAATGAGGCCTTACACCATGCAAGGAAAGAAATAACCCTTGAACAGCTTTAAAACTCTTACTTGTATTTGCAGTGATCAACCAGTGGAATTTCCTTTGCGGGAGGCTTTCCTAAGGTGTCCTTAAAATAAAGCGAATTAAAAAAATTAGTAAGCTTTATATGGTGATTTCATATTTGTTTTCCTTCTCAGTTAGAAACAAAGCTGAAGTCTCAAAACCCTCCATTCCCACTTCGGAAAAAACCTTCTCTGGTGGGCTTTTGCAAGTATTATAACCTTCTCTGGTGGGCTTTTGCAAGTATTATGAAGAATTCCCAGCTCTTTAAACAAGAAAAAAGGTTCCGTAAATTACACACTGCCTGTAAGCAAACGCCAGCACAGCACATTAAATGATAATGTTTAGCTGGCAGCTACAGAATGGAAAACAGCCTGGGACAATGGACTACGTGAAGCCAAGCGTAACCAGATTAGCCAAGAGTGTCTGGAGCAAGCTGGACTGTAGTCCAAGTATGGAACTAAAAAGTTATCAGCAACAGTTATCAGAAAGTTATCAACAACAAGACCAAGAAATGGAGATGACAGAAAAAGGTTTAAAAAGACTGACACCACCACACATGCAGCTTCGGGATAGAAGGGGAAGAGTTGGTTAATTTTGTCGTAATGAAAGAGGAGGGAATTGGCACAGGTTCATTTTCTTACACGTGCCTGTTTCCTGAACAAAAAGTGTAGATGGAAGAAAAACGTTTGGCCTGCCAGGCTCTAGAGGCTCCTTCCTTTCATCCATCAGAGAGATGCAGCCATCGAGGGAACTGCAAGCCTCCCCCACTCTAGAGGATCACCCAGAACTCTCCAACAAGATGCATCTCAATCATCAAAGCCATCTTGCAATGCTACCCTTTCTGGCCTTCACGCTCAGGAGACAGACAACACCCACACACCTTCTCAGATTTCCAAGCCTGGTTTTTAGTGTACTCAGCATCAACAAGTTCTGGGTTTTCTCGGGACAGCAGAATGAGGGGATCTCTCTCAGGGCTCGTTCTGCAAAAGAAATGCTATCAGTAATTGCCAACCCACATGACCCAACACAGCTAACTAACAGGACTCAAGATCCTGCCTGTTCATGAGGCTGACCTCCTTATGTGCCCTGAAAACACTATTAAGTGCCTACCATATGGTGTATTTCTGTCCAAGGCTATACTAGCAGAAGAGAATGAGATATGTATACCAAAATTATTTGAGGCCATGTTTCTTTAGTTCGCTTACTAAATATTTAATAGTATTATTTAAGCAATTCCCAGGACAAATCAGCAGAGATGTTGTTTCCTTCAGGCCTTATCCTGATGAGTGCCAAATACTTTAACTTCCTTCTAAGTCAGAGAGAGAGCTAAGAGACGCGAAGCATCTTCAACACTTGATCCCTCTGACACTAATTTAAAACACTACTGATAAACATGGTTATGACATACCTGAGACTCACTCCTCATCATCTCCCGAGCCTACCTAGCAAGATATCAAATCCATCCCTACCGGGGATGGAGGAGGAACAAAAAGGAGTAGGGGTTAACACTGTTTTCAAACTATCACTGGAGAGAGGACAAAAATAAATCTACTTGCTCTCTTATCCCCCATCACTCAGGTAGTACAATGCAAGAATACTTGTTGAGTCACTGTCAAGCACTTGCACAGCGAATAAAGTATCCATGCTGGCAAGAAGCATGCAAATCAATATCAAATCTTTAAATTTGTATCATGCACCTGCAGTTCCCTGCACAGAACAAAACAAGCTGGTTCCCAGTGTGACAGCTTTACTCATTAAGAAATACCATAGCAAATCCATCACAACTTCTGTTTCCAATATTAGACTTATTATAATAAACTAGTTGCAATGGCAGTTCTTAAGGAGTTATGGACTTCCTAATGGCAAAATGCTGCTGTACCAAATGCCTCCCTTTCCTTATTCTTAAAAAATACATTTGTGAGTTACATTTGTTTAGGTCTTGGAGATACAGAAATTTCTGCATACAGACAGCTGTCACAGCATATTTTGGTAGAATCTCCTGCTATAGGAAAATATGCTCACCTGGATCCTCGGAAATATCCTTTAGAGATTTTTTTCATCCACGGCCATTTTTCTGCAGATCTGAAAATATTGTTTATATATGGCAATAAATGATTTAATATAACCATGAAACAGCGCTCTCATCAGTTTTCACAGCATGATCCCTTTTTATTATTCTTCATTTTTGATGGAAATCACTTTCTTCATTATAGCAGAAAAAACTCTCAGCCAGGTCCAATGAAACAGGTTTTCCTGTAAATATTCTGTTTAAGGCAACATGACATAGGCTACTTTTCAGAATACATTTCAGTATTACGCACGAATTAATGAATTACGCACAACCCCCTCATCAAATCTTTAAGGGTATTAAAATTTACCTAAAATTTGCACTGTTTTTACCACTTTTTGCACTGTTGCTTTATTTTTCTATACTTCACTGGATATGGATAGTGCAAAACTACTAGTTTCTAACCACTGCCATTTCCCATTAAAAAACCAAAACCAACCAACCAAACAAAAAACAAGCAAAAAAATTTGCCTAGTGTATTGCATTTAAAACACAGGGGTTCATTGTTTTCCCAAACAACATTCATTTTACATCTAAAGGAGTCCTTCAAAATAGCTGTTCACAAGTTTTATTTCCCTCAGTGCAGTCACCTGCCTCCCTCTGGGGAACTCTGTTGTACTTTTTTGTTTCACCTGGCCTGACATGTAGGTCCTGATCCCCAAACTGATCTGCACAGGTCAAGCCCTGCATCTGCTTGTAAGCCAGTGACACAAGTGGGGTTCACTGGGAAAGATAGGATAAGAAAAGGCTTTGGACCTTCATTATATTGTATCACATTAGGCTTCAGCTGTGATTAGTCCCATGGATCTGCAGATTTTGAAGAGGGAAACATTCAGCCTTGTATTCTGATGTCAAGGGATTTACATCAAGGTGTTCTTTTTCCTGTTGTGTTTCTATGTTCACTCACTGTTGCACACTTTGTTTGTCACTCTCCATGCCCCTTATTCTGCTAACAGTCAAAGACCCTGCCAAAAGAAAGACTCCCAGTCAGAAACGTCTTCTGTCTTACTCTCAAGCCCAGGAATGACTCTCAATTCTTGGGAACAATTCCAGGTCTCTCTATGGCACAACAACACTCAAGTAAAAGCAGATTTAAAGAAGGCTTTCCTTTACCCTTCCAGAAGCTTATACAAACATCCTGGACCATCCCTGCAATGAAAAACCCACGGCTCTTTGAGAAGTAGTTGGAAACAAAGCAGAATATTTCCATGTGTCAGGGGAGATTTCTGCAGGCAAAAGATAACCGTTGCTTTATTGACAAACCCCATCCCAGCAAAAATGATAGCAATCTGACCCTGAGAGCATGAAGAGTGTATATACCTTGTCCTCTGCGTACCCTACTAAACTGTTGGAAACAGAGAAGCTAATTATAACTTCTAGTTACATCACCCAAGGTTTCCATGGAGAATTCTTACACAGCAGTTAGGCTGTATGTAGTTAATGACAGGCAGCAGGACAGATCACAGGCCAACAGAGCTATGGTCTTAGATGTCCAACATTGCCCTAATGCTGCCCAGTGCTAGATGGCTTTTACTGTGAGTTTGTTTTCCATTAAACCTCCTGCCCCACAAAATAATTTCCAAAACATACCTTCTGAGGTCCTCTCTCATGAGGTCCCAGCGCCCTAAACCTGTTGGGTAAATTGGCCAAACAGCTGGTCCTCCTTCCCAAAATGTCCAGGCAGGATACATGATATCATTGTATTCGGGTGTCTTAAGAAAAAGGAGAGAATAATGTAAGAATAAGAGTAATATCTGCTTTGGTTTACTGACTGAGCCCACCAGTAAGGAACGTCCCTTCTGGGAGTTCTGTTGGCTTTCTCCATTACTGTTCCGTAAGCAGCCATGAAAGCTCTGCAGTCACCATGGTGTTTCTGGGGTTCATAGGAAGACAACCCAATATTGAAATGTTTCAATGACTTTAAAAAGGCTATGTCTTGCTACATGACAATGTTGGAATTCCATGTTCAAAAATAACGAAAGAGATTCATGATATAGTTATCAGTAAATAGGAAAATACCTGAGCTCCACTCACCTTTCTAAAGACTTGTGCCTATGTGTGGCTACAAATGTTTTCTACTGATCATACATTAAGAGGCATTATTATCTCCTCAGAGATAGAAGCAGTTATAGTCACTTTGACATTTAGGTTTCCAACACTCCAGTTCATTCCAGCCTTCCTAGAGGTCACTTAACAATTCCCTGTAACAAATATCCATGTCATGTAAGAATTTCAGTTCCTCACTCCTATTTGGATGCTTAAATTCCCCTATAATCAGAGGGAAAACCAGCACTTAAGTAAGGCTAAACCCTTTCATGAAATCAGACTATAGGCCACTTCCTTGCACTAGTAATAAACTTCCTATGCAATTATTATTATAAATTATTATTATAGTCAGATTATTAATCTACCTGTCACCTGGAGATACTGGAGAAAGCCCAAGGCCACCAAGGTAGCTAGGAGGTTGGTGCACATGACCTATAAACAGGGGCTGAGGAATGGGTTTGTTCACACCCAGGAAGAGGAGGCTTGGGGGAATCTAAATGCTGTCTGCTACTACCTAATGAGAGAGTTCAGAGGAGATGGAGGCAGACTCTTTTCAGAAGTGCAGAGATAGAATAAGAGGCAACAGGCTTTGATTACAAGGGAAATTCCAACTAGATATTGGGACATGTCTTCATTCTGAGGGAGGTCAAATGCTGGCTGCGTACACCCTGTCCTGGGCATGCTCAGAACTGGGCTAGACACAGCCTGGAGTGCCCTGGTCTAATTGGTCCTGCTCCAAGCGAGGCGCTGGACTGTATTACCTCCCAAGGCCCCTTCCAACTTAAATGAGTGTGTGCTTCTATGATCTATTCCTTCTCAGTCTTGCTATAAACAGGCATTCATACAAACCATGACAGCTCCACCCCCCACCCCCAGAGGGGGCCTTCTGAGATGCAGAACAGGAAAATCCTGCGATCGCTGATGCTTTCAGCCCTAGAATGCATCCTGGAGCCTTCCTCATTTTGGCAGTGACTAACACTGGCTGGTTAAATGTGAGCTGTGCCTGGGTCACTGGGTTTCAGCTAAGGATAGGGCTGAGGTTACAGTTCAGATATCGGACAGATATTGAACTCAGCTTCTTGTGGGGCCCTGCAAGGCACCCAGGGGCAGGATGCTGAATACGGCTGCAAAGATCAAACTCCTGCAGCCAGACTTTGGGTCCTGCTGGCTAGAGGTAAGGCTGTGCAATGGTCAAGGGGCAAGACAGCTAGCTTTACTACTACATCTGGCAGCAAACACGGTTCTTGAATAACAGTGCTTGCAATGCTGTATTGAAATTCTACAGAGAGTTTTAGGATGGCTGGGGACTAGGCAATAGTTACAGATTGTATTAGGGTTCAGACTGCATGAGCTGAAGACCTGGGTAAGATGCTAAAAATTAGACAAAACAAAATAGGGCCTGAACTCTCAAGAGCAAATGGTTTCTTGCTTCTTTTTGCATCTGTCTGCTGGGCTTCAGTCAAGAACAGGGTCATGGTCAGAGTCGGGTAGTGAGGGTGCAGGATTTGTGCACATTGGGCATACACTAATGCAAAGGAAGATTACATGAAGCTTGACGTGTTGAGGTATTTTGTTGGAAAAGATGAGACATTATGCTACAGTCAGGTTTAACAATGGGAGAGACAGGAAAACATATGGGACGTCTCTCCAGTCTGGAAACAGAGATGCAGAGAACGAATGTCTCTGTGTGTGTGTCTCTGCATGCATGTGCATGTTTGGAGATGGAAGAGGTAATCCAAGGCAAAACAGTTCACAGGAGACAGCAATAACACAGCAAAGAAGATAAGAAACACCTGTCTGTGATACCAAAAAAGAGGACTAAAATATTCATATTAAATGAGATTAACTGTACGACAGCTGACTGATGATCAAAAATCCTTAACAATGCTCATAAACTACGGCTACAATTTTAACAGAGGGATTGTAGCAAATGACAGCGATGCTGGCACATATCCCATCCAGCTGTGCATCGTTCCACTGTGGCAGAGGTACATTTTTTGACCTGGAAGAGGAGCTAATGAGGGGAAAAACTGTTCTATTGAATAAATCTGCAAGTCTGTCTGCCAGAAAACTGGAAGCGAAAGGAAACAGAGAGAGCAAAAGAAAGCAAGCAATTTTGACACACAGAAAATCTGTGGGGAACCATCCTCAAAAATGAGTTCCCAAGAGAAAGGAGGACATGCATGTCTCAGAAATGCCCAGCTTTTAAAGGCATGCACACCTTACTGAAGGAGAAGACTGGTATAAGGGGTTTCATCCACTTGGGGACCTGGGGGTAGTCTCGCACATTGATCACCATTTCCATGTCAGGGAGGCGGTTGATGATCCCCAGAAGGAAGTGCTCAACTCCACTGCATCTGTGGGGAAACGACATATGGCAAAAAGCTGTAAGGAGAAAGTGCAATCCTCCAGTATCTTGCAGACCTTTCTCTCTGTGCAGGAGCAGAAGAGATGGTGAGCCTGAGCCACACCACGATGCAGGCTGGGAGCTGCCCATAGCAGCCTCTAGGCCCCAGTGCAGTACAGACACCAACGAAGTAACCCACCTTGTTACATCTGGCCCAATCCACAGCTTTCTCTGGGATCCCACAGTCAACCAACCCTTTGTACACTGAAGTGTAACAATGACACTTACCTCTTGCTACATTTAAGCCTCATACATAATTTTCTAGACTCCTGCTCTGATAAGGAATTCAAACCTCTGAAATATCATTATGCACAGTGGCTTTCAGCTTGGCGGATTTGGAAGTACTCCTGTGCCCCAGCTAGGGAGACGAGATCTTCTGCACAGCTCTTACCTTGCAGGGAACAAGCAGTCCTGCTCACGGTACAATTTGTTCTTAATGATTTGGTAGTGTGTCCCGAGCTTCCGGCTCACCACATCTGATATTATCTCCTTGGAAATGCCACCTCGAAAAGGAGCCAGGTCCTGCTTCCAGACACTGAAACAAAATAATCAGACATTATGATGTACAATAGGAAGGATACCGTACATTAAATTACTGCAACATACACAGAACAGACTTCTAGCTAAAACAAGCTCCATGCAGCTTCCAGGAGCTCTGCTAACATGTCGCATAATGGAGAATTTAAGTCACTTGGAAGAGCTGTTACTCAAAGGTCCAAGCTCCAGTCTTTGACTATCCATGTGCTGCCTGCCCGAACAGAAAGCCCAGCATAGGACTTTGAGGCTAAATCAACATGGACAACGCTAGTTACTTTCCCAGAAAGGACCTTATATACCCTGGCAGGTTATGCATAAAACCCTTCACCTCTGAATTACGCATAAAACTTAACCTCTGAGTTGTGAAGCTTGTGCTCTGGCCTTCCATGAATGATGGGCCACACCAAGACCAAACTCCTCACACAGTGTTGTGCTATTTAGACATAACAAAGAAGGTAAGAGTCTAGTTGCAAGGAACAGCATCACCAAATAATGCTGTGTGCAGTGAAAACCAGCCCAGGAGGAGAGACCTATGTAGACTGTGTTTGTGACATCTGCACATCACCAGTGAGCTCCAGGAATGCAGTACGGAAGCATAAACCTAATGTATATAGACAACACAGAAGGAGGATGCAGTTTATATATATTTCATAGAATCACAGAATCATTAAGGTTGGAAAAGACCTCCAAGATCATCAAGTCCAACCATCAACCCAACACCACCATGCTTACTGAACCATGTCCCAAAGTACCACGTCTGCACGTTTTTTGAACACCTCCAGGGATGCGGACTCCACCACCTCTCTGGGCAGCCTGTTCCAATGCTTGAGCACTCTTTCAGTAAATAAATTTTTCCTAATACCCAATCCAAACCTCCCCTGGCATAACTTGAGGCCATTTCCTCTCATCCTATTGCTCATTACTTGGGAGAAGAGGCTGACCCCCACCCCACTGACAGCCTCCTGTCAGGCAGTTGTAGAGGGCGATCAGGTCTCCCCTCAGCCTCCTCTTCTCCAGGCTGAACAACCCCAGTTCCCTCAGCCGCTCCTTGTAAGACTTGTGCTCCAGACCCCTCACCAGCTTTGTTGCTCTTCTCTGGACACGCTCCAACAATGCAACATCTTTCTTGTAGTGAGGGGCCCAAAACTGAACACGGCGTTCGAGGTGCAGCCTCACCAGTGCAGAGCACAGGGGCACAATCACTTCCCTACTCCTGCTGGCCACACTATTCCTGATACAAGCCAAGATGCTGTTGGCCTTCCTGGTCACCTGGGCACACCGCTGGCTCATGTTTAGCTGGCTGTCAACCAGCACCCTCAGGTCCTTTTCCACTGGACAGCTTTCCAGCCACTCTTCCCCAGGCCTGTAGGGATTGCTGTGACCCAAGTGCAGGACCCGGCACTTGGCCTTGTTGAATCTCATACAGTTGGCATCCATCCTGTCCAGATCCCTCTGCAGACCCCTCCTCCCCTTGAGCAGATCAACACTCCCACACAATTTGGTGTCATCTGCAAAATTACTGAGGGTGTACTCAATCCCCTCGTCCAGATCATCGATAAAGACATTAAACGAGATTGGCCCCAGCGGGGAACCCCGCTTGTTACCGGCCTCCAACTGGATTTAACTCCATTCACCACAACTCTCTGGGCTCAGCCATCCAGCCAGTTTTTCACCCAGAGAAGAGTACGCCTGTCTAAGCCATGAGCCACCAGCTTCTCTCGGAGAATGCTGTGGGAAACAGTGTCAAAGG